GTTTCACCATGTTGACCAGGATGGTCTCGATCTCTTGACCTCGTGATCCACCCGCCTCGGCCTCCCAAAGTGCTGGGATTACAGGCTTGAGCCACCGCGCCCGGCCCCTAAAAATTTTTTATCCCTTCTAGCAATTAAGATTGATCCAGTGTTGGAGCACCCTTTAATGCACTATCTTATTCCATCCTCACAGTGATCCTATGAAATAGGCACTATCATGATAATATTGCAATGTGAAAACTTGGTCTCAGAGAGGTTAAGAGATTTGCCCAAGGCCATGATAGCAGAAAGTGGTAGAACTGAGTTGCGATGGCAGGTGAAGAAGACAGAAGTTCAGATTACAGGTACATAACTGGAACAAAGATTTTCTTTTCCTCAGATTGCTTCATGTACGCATAGTTGCATCACTGAAGGTATCAAGTTTTCCAACAACACACAGGGGATAGTGAAATCATCGTTAGACTCTCCAGCTTACTGCTAAATCCATCCTGATTCTTCTTTCATTGACAAAGCCTCCAGTTTCCACAATTCCTAAACTGACAACTTTTGAGAGTCCTAGCGATGTGGAGATGAAGGAAGCATGGAAGAGAGTGAGAAGCAAGATCCTCTGGCAGTAGAACAGATACAACCTTCTGATGAATAACTAATCCCATAAGTGTGCAGGGTGGGAGGATACTCTTCTCATAATGTGGTTATGACCAGCGAAAGCACTATAGGCATGTGTGCACTGCAGAGAACTAATTTGTTAACAGGCAAAACAAAAAAGTGTGTTAAATATTCTTATGTTGAGAGTTGGGGGCTTTTTGGAGGGGAGTTGTTTGGTTTTTCAATTTCCTGAAATCCATTTGGTTCCAATTCTTTTTTTTTTTTTTTTTCCTTCTTTTTGAGATGGAGTCTCACACTGACACCCAGGCTGGAGTGCAGGGGTGTGATCTTGGCTCACTCCAACCTCCACCTCCTGGGTTCAAGAAATTCTCCTGTCTCAGCCCCTGAATAGCTGGGATTACAGGCACGTGCCACGGCACCAAGCTAATTTTTGCAGTTTTTAGTAGAGACAGGGATGCACCATGTTGATCAGACTGGTCTCAAACTCCTGACTTCAGGTGATCTGCCCACCTCGGCCTCCAAGAGTGTTGGCATTACAGGCGTGAGGCACCTCACCCAGCCAGTTCTAAGAATTTGACCTTGATTTCATCACGTTTGTGACTCAAACTTTGGTGAGCATCAGAATCACCTGGCGGGGGGGGGGGGGTGCTGAAGGCACAGCTTACTTGGTTCTACCCCCAGAGTCTCTGATGCACTAGATCTGGGTGAGGCCAACGATTTGCATTTCTAGCAAATTCCTAGATGATGTTGCTGGTCTGAGAATCACAATTTGAGAGTCACTGATTAGGTGATCAGCATCAGATTAAATCTTGGTGAGTTTAATTTTTTGTTTCCCAGAGCATTTTTCACACTTATTGAATCATAATTTAAGATTTCAGAAGCCTTGAGATTAAGCAGGTTTAGAATTGTGTCTCTTTTTTTCTTCTGAGACTATTTTTTTAAATCTTTTTTTAACCTTTCTTCACTGCTTATCTCTTGTAACCACACAACAGTTCTCCCAAACATGTTTAAGCCAGCTACCGTTCTCAATAGACTGTGTTCCCCAACCAAATTTTCCCAAAGTTTATATAACAGACCCTACCACTACCCCCCAGACATGCTGCGCCTTGGTCCTTGTGACTTCCCCCAGCAGCGTGCGGCAGGCGTCCTCCGCCGACGAGCTTGCGGGGCGGGGGGCTTTCGCCCACGAGGGGGCGCCAGGCACCCGGGAATGGCTTGAAACTGTCCTCCGCAGCCACCTGCTGTGTGTTCAACACGAGTCCCAGGCTGCCCTAATTCCTGGCAGGTTAGATTCCTCAATGAAATTCGTTTCTGTCCTAGAGGAAAGGGTTTTTATGGAGATTATTTGAGGCCATGGAAAGCCAGAAAGATTGAGAGAAAAATGACCGTCCTTGAACGCAAATCTGGAGCCAAGCGGCCTGGGGGAGGCTTTCACATCCGAGTGGGCGGAGGACCAGCCGCAGCCTCAGCTGGGAGGTAGAAACGCAGACGCGCGGGCCCAGCCCAGGATTCTGCATAAACATCTGCAGGGATTCCCCTAAACCCTGCAGCCGAGAAGCACTGCTGCAGAGCATGAAGAGCAAACTCTGCTCTTTTATCTGAAAACATGCACACCTCCGTTCTCCATCCCAACCTTGTCCTCACCCCGCCCACAGAAAAACATGAAATTGGAGTTTCCACTTCGCTTGATCTACCAGAGATACATTTTAAGATTTGTTTTAAATGAAAATGCATTTAAAAAATACTTTCTTTCCCAGACGACGTTGTGGTGTTATTAAAAATGCAATTGAAATGTGCTACTTAGTGGCAGGTGGCAAATCATCCCATGAGTAAGAAATTTTTCTGACAATCATAGACTGGGGGGAAATGGCATCCAAATGGCTTGTGTGTTTAGTCCGTTGGAGCAGAAAAATCCATAAATTCAGTCGGAAGTGTCAGTCTCGTAGCTCCATGAAATACAGCCCTGGACTTTCTCTTGCCTCCCTTGGTCGGAACACCTTCTTACACCAGTGACCCATTTCTCTGTTCTCGCAGCTGCCTTCCTTGGGGAAATCAGACTGCCCGGCATAAAAGACAAGTTTTAATTTATCTTCTTTCTTTATGCTTGTCCACAACACAAACACATGCACATACTTCTTTCCTCTTGAGCTAAATGTAACTTCAGCACTTCTCTTGACTTAATGTGTTTTCCTAATTAGCTTTAACATTAAAACCAGCTGCTACTGCAGTGTTTTTAACTTTTATAAAGCATTAGAAGATTAATTGACTCATTATGTGGAAACAGGAGGATATAAATTTAGGGGAGCTTTTTCCTTAACTTGCGTTATAAATTGCAGCTCATTTTCTTTATTTATGTTTTCCCTTCCTTTTATATCTCCCATAACTAAGGGCTTTTTTTGTTTTAGTTTTATGGATGATAATATCTTTGTTTCTTCAAAGAGAAATCATTTCAGCATGCAGATCCTGGCCACAGAGTCAAAAGAAAAGTTGAGGTTATACAGGCTGCATGTGCAGCCTTTGCTTGTCAAACGAGAGGACTGTACTGAGAGCCAGAGGGTCTGGCGACTTTCCTGTCATTAACCGGGTTTCAGGCACAGGTTGTCACCTCTCTGAGTATGCACTCCCTCATGTCAAGTGGAGCTAACATCAGTCCTCTCTAGCTAACAAAGCAGCTATAATGAAAACATTAGATAATATATTATATAATGAACTTTAAATGCATTATCCAAAGCAGATGCATAACTTTTATTTAGCCCTCATTATTCCAGCCTGCATAAAAACCAAATACATGCTACATCTTTACATATCCAAAAAGG